CCTCAGGCTGGTTTCGAACTCCTGACTCGAGAAATCCTGCCCGCCTCGGCCTCCCAGAGTGCTAGGATTACAGGCATGAGCAACCGCGCCCAGGCTTATACTCTTTTTATTTCAGCATATTATGGGGGTACAAATGTTTAGGTTATGTATGTTGCCTTGCCCCCCTGCCCCTGAGCTTCAAGCCTGTCCATCCACCAGATGGTGTGCATCGCACTGATTATGGATGTATATACCCATCCCCTTCTCCCCCCTCCCATTTGCCCGACGTCTGATAAATGTTATGCCTATATGTCCACTTAGGTGTTGATTAGTGAAACCAATTTGCTGGTGAGTACATGTGGTGCTTATTTTTCCATTCTTGGGATACTTCACTTAGTAGAATGGGTTCCAGCTCTATCTAGGAATATACAAGAGGTGCTATATCACCGTTGTTTCTTATAGCTGAATAGTACTCCATGGTGTATATATATACCACATTTTATTAATCTACTTATGTATTGATGGGCACTTCCGTTGTATCCACATCTATGCTATTGTGAATTGTGTTGCTATAAACATTCAAGTGCAGGTGTCTTTTTTATAGAATGTCTTTTGTTCTTTTGGGTAGATGCCCAGTAATGGGATTGCTGGATCAAATGGTAGGTCTATTTTTATCTCTTTAATGTATCTCCATATTGCTTTCCACAGAGGTTGCACCAATTTGCTGTTCCACCAGCAGTGTATGAGTGTTCCTATCTCTCCGCATCCATGCCAACATTTATTTTGGGGGGACTTTTTGATAAAGGCCATTCTCACTGGAGATAAATGATATCTCATTGTGGTTTTGATTTGCATTTCCCTGATGAGTAGAGATGTTGAGCATTTTTTCATGTTTCTTGACCATTATTCTGTCTTCTTTTGGAAAGTTTCTGTTCATGTTCTTTTGCCCACTTTTTGATAGAGTTGTTTGATTTTTTCTTGCCGATTTTCCTGAGTTCTAAATAGATTCTAGTTATCAGCCCTTTATCGGATGTGTAGCTAGTGAAAATTTTCTCCCATTCTGTAGGTTTGCTCTTGTCTGTTTGCTCTCTTGACAGTTTATTTGGCTGTGCAGAAGCTTTTTAATTTGATCAGGTCTCATTTATTTATTTTTGTTGTTGCTGTGATTGCCTTTGGTGTCTTCTTCATAAATTCTTTGCGTAGGCCAATGTCTAGAAGAGTATTTCCAACATTTTCCTCTAGAATTCTAATAGTTTCACACCTAAGGTTCAAGTCTGTTACCCAGCGTGAGTTGATTTTTGTGAGAGGTGAAAGGTGTGGGTCTTGTTTCAGTCTTCTACAAGTGGCTATCCAGTTTTCCCAGCACCATTTATTGAATAAGGATTCTTTTCCCCGGTGTATGTTTTTGTCTGCTTTGTCAAAGATTAGATGGGTATATGAGGATGGTTTTATATGTGGGTTCTCTGTTCTGTTCCTCTGGTCAATGTCCCTGTTCTTGTGCCAGTCTTAAGCTGTTTTAATTACTATAGCCTTGAAGTATAGTTTGAAATCTGGTAAATTAATACCTCCCATTTTGTTTTTATTGCCTACGATTAGCAGGTTGTTTTTAAAATTTTTTTTTCTTAGAGATGGAGTCTCGTTCTGTTACCCAGCCTCCAGTGCAGAGGCTCGATCATAGCTCACTATAACCTGAAAGTCCAGGTCTCAAGTGATCCTTTGACCTCAGCCTCCTGAGTAGCTGGGACTACAATGCGTGCATCACCATGCCTGGCTAGTTTTTGTTTTATTTTTTGTAGAGACAGGATCTTGCTATGTTGTCCAGGCTAATCTTGGACTCCTGGCGCCAAGTGATCACTCTGCCTCAGCCTCCCAAAGTGCTGGGATTACAGGTATGAGCCACCATGCCCAGCTAATCTAGCAGGTGTTTAAAGTCTAGCCAAACCTCAGGAATACAGTTGTAGGATTTCCAGTTCATAGGAAGTGTATTACCAATAGGAAGCCCATATCACCCAATCTGAGGAAGACTAGTGCCAAATTCCTGATGGGAGACCTGGCATCCCAAACTGTTATTTCACCAGTTCCTCTCGTTCTGCCCCAGGTGTCTGAACATAGGAGAGCAGCTACCCAGAGCAACACCACAGAGGGACCCAGCTAAAAGTCCAACCAAATCTGCACAGCTGCAACACCTCAGAAAATGAAGTCCAGCCCTCTCACTGCTAGTCTGGATTGACTGAGATGACTGAGGCCTGCTGTAAAGTCATCGTGCTGGGCTCTTTGAAAATCTGTGCTGACTGACCAACTGGACTGCTGTGGCAGGGACGAGCTCTAGAGCTGGTGGTGGGAGGGTGCAATCCTGAGGTGGAAGGTAGGCTGGAAAACCATGGGTGCCTCAGCAAAAGGGAGGCTGCTTAGAATTAGGTCAGGCTGGTGGCCATTCTGAAAGTGTATGATGGATGGAGCAGTAAACTACAGCTGGGAGACCTGGGCTCAAATGCCAGCTCTGCCACTCTCGAGCTAATAATCTCTGGGTACATCAGTTCCCTCTTCTATAAAATGGAGATAATAGCAATAGTACCTATCTCATTGGGTTGTTGTGAGGATAAAATGAAATCATGTTAATAGGAGACAAGCACACAAATTTATTAACATGTAAGTGCCTGAGAGTCACACAAAGCATGAAACTCAAAGGAGGGGCAGATGGTTAGAGCTCAGACACCCTCTCCACATGGGGAGGGAAGTAGTGGATCCCAGAAGTCTTAGAGGAAGAGCAAATAATGTTTAGGGGAGATGAATGGGCCCAAAGAATAGATAATAGCCGGGGATAAAGCTCATCTGGGCTCTGAGTGTGGTGTCTACTCTCCTCTTCCTTCTTTCAATATGCATTGATGGTTTTCCTAGTCAATGAGATATCTGGGGAAGGAATTTACAACAATTGAATATCTGCTGGAGGATGCAGCCTTTAGGTAGGTGGGGGAACTTCAGGAAAAAAAAATAATAAATAAAATGAAATCATGGACATGAAAGCACTGTGAAAACTCATGGTGTATAGAAATATGAAGTTATGTGTTTACTTGTTTTCTTTACTTGTGTATCTCTGGCACCTGGGGCAGTGTCTGACATGTAACAAGCACTCAATAAAAATTTGTTGGATGAATTAATAATATATGTACTAGAGTTTGAGTACTATTCAGAATACTAGGTGATCATGACAAAGTCAAGCTATGAGATAGACAAAAGTAAATTTTTGCATCCTTCCATTTGGAGCCCTGTCCCTGGACCCCTGTTAGTTACCTCATTTTTCCTTGCCAAGCCCACTTAGTATCAATGATGACAAGAACAGTAGCTGCCATTCGCTGAAGGCTTATTACGTTCTAAGCACTAGGCTTTACATGCACCTCCTCACCTTGATCTTTGCATCCACTCCTCCATATAATGGCTATTTTTCTTGGGAAAAAATACACGTTAATGGCTCTAAAGCTCAAGTTTTCTCATGTAGGTTGTAAGGCAAATCCTACTGCAGACACTGACATGATTCCTGTTAAATTTTCTGTTCCCAGGACTCTTTGAGACCCAACTCAAACTCAAGCTTACAATTGTGTGGCAAGGGCCCAAATGCCATAGCCATGTCATCAAGTATGGCTATGGTGGATGGGGAACGAAGGCAGGGACAGGGGCGGAGCTGAGGCCCTGGTTTCTTACATAGTCTCCAACATTCTGAGCCACCTGCACCAAGGCACTAAGGTTATTCCATCCTCTTTCACAATTACCTGGCTAGGACACAGCAGCTTTCATTCAAATCCAGGTAATCTCCTTTCAGTGCTTCATGACATTTAAGGGAGCAGATGGAACAACTTGTCAAATGCTTGTCCACAGCTGCTCACCTGGGCTCACAAATCCGTCTCCTCAGCCAACAGATTTTTCACAGAAGAGTGCTAATTTCTTTGGCTTACTGCCCTTTGCATTGCTACAACCTGAGATGCTGGGGCCATTTGCCAGGTTCAGAACTTTCTGGCAGGCTCTCTCACACCACTGCCACCCCCACCCCGATTCTTCTTTCATAGCCCTATCAAAGTTAAGATGAAACTATTCATGGAAAAATTTCATTACCTTTGGTCTCCCCCAAGTGCCTCCAAGTTCCACAAGAGCAGGAGGAATTGACTTTCTTCTCTGCTGTATCCACAGTGCCCAGCTCTGGGCCTAGTACACAGCAGTTGCTCAATCAATATTTGTTGAAGAATTAATGAATAAGTGAAGAATGTACAAATGAGAGAGAAAAGTAGAATAGAATAAATGTATAAATGGGAAAATTGCTCTCAGACCTTTGAAGAGTTGTCATATGTAAGAGGAAGGATTTCTATTAGCTTTTTAGTTTGTAACAATTTCAAAATTACAGAAGAGTTGCAAGAAAAGAATAGAGCAAAGAATTCCCATATATCATCTATTCAGATCCCACCAATTTTAAATATTTTGGTATTTATTTAATCACTACTTATATATTAGTGTTCTTTTTTTCTGAACTATTTGAAAATAGGTTGCATATATGATGCCACTTTACTCCTTAATACTTCAGTGCATATTTTCCCAGAACAAGGACATTCTCATAGATGACCACAGTACCATTATCAAATTCAGAAAATTTAACAGTGATACAATATTGTAATCTACAGTCATTCCTCTAACTTTGCCAATTGTGAAGGGGGATTTTTTTGTTTAGTTTGGTTCTTCATGGCAGAAGGAAGATTACTGGGTAGACATATAAGGAATATGATTTTTGAGTATAGAATGTGAAGATTGATTCAAAAAATTAGAACTATCAAGGTATGAAATGGCCTTTCTCCAAAAATAGGGAATTCCTTGTTGCTGGAGGTATTTAGGCAGAGACTAGATGATTACCTATTAGGAATGAGGGAGGGGAAATCCCTTATAAACTTGAACTACAAAATAAGCTTCTCTCTGTGGGTATTTCCGCAAACCAGATGACTCATATTCGATGTACTGGGCTTGATTCTTTTTTCACTTACCATTTCTAGCGTCAGGGTTGGCCCTTGTATGGCTGAAGTGGCCAGCCTCTTCCATGACATGGTGTTGAAGCAACCTCAATGTTCCAGCAGCCTTGAAGTATTTTCCTCTGACATGTTCTCTAAATAGGTCCACCCTGAAATCACACTAATAACATGTATTATATGCTTACTATGGGCCAGGCACTGGTTTAAGTGCTTTACCAGTGTTAACCTACTAAGTCTCAAAAAAAAAAAACACCCTAGGATGTAGCTATTGCTGTTATCTCTATTTTACTGATGAGGAATCTTAAAGCTCAGAAAGATTTTGGTATCTCGATTTGGTTCATGTCTGATATGTTAAAAGATTTAAGACATATGGTCAAGTTGTCCAAATCAGTGTATATGGAGAGTTTTTAAAAATGGGTTCAATTCTTTAAAAGCAAAATTAAAAAGAACCCAAAAGATAACATTTTAAGACTTCAAGAACGGTAATGTTTCTTTATATATTTATATCTATTCCTTTCCAAATGGGGCAGTCTAATTTGGAGAGTTTTTTTGAATGGGTTCTCTATTTCTACATTTCCTGATTTTCTCATTGTCATTGTTGTAATTATTATTTTGATTTTAGACATATGCTTTTCACTTTAGTTGACATGCCCACTCAGCATTAAAGATGCTCCTAGGGACCGCCCTGTTTTAAAGCTGCTGAATCTCCCTGCCACACTATTATCTTAGAAAGACAGAGGAACCAGGAGGATGGCCCCCTTCTATTCCTGGCCTTGTAACTTTTGTATTTTTCAAAACAGTTAATTTCTGGCTCATTCCTACCAATTCTCCAAATTTCAGCTTAAATGTCACATCCTCAGAAACATTTTTGGTACCCTCCAAGACTGTTTCCGGTTCCCACTGCCTCGTCGACCTTTTCTTCGTCTCACCTCATTGCATCATTAACCTTTCCTTCATAGTAATTATCACATTTAAGATTATTGTTTTCTGTCTTTACAGTTAGACTGTAATACAGCTTTTTGGAGGAGCTCCCTCTGTTTTTGCTCCTTAACTTATCCCCAGTACCTGACATACTGTAGCCACCCAATAAATGTTTGTCAAATGAAGAATGAACAAATGAAGATCCAGTTCCACTTCAGAAAAGGATGTTAGCAAAAGAAAACATTAATAAGTAAATGGTGCTCTGGAGTCAAAACTTGAATCTTCTAGTACCAAAGGTGAGAGCCAGGCAGTGACTCAGTCAAAATGAGGGATTTGGTGGGTGCAGCAGGAAGTTGTGGTTCAGGTTGGAACTTTGGTCAGTCACTACAGGACGACAGCTGCAGCACAAAGAGTCTCAGTTCAGTACTAGGATTCTGTAGCTGACTGGAAATACTGTGTTTTCCGGGGTTAACCCCTTCTGGAAGGAAAAGATGGTACAGAACACATGTCCCCATGGTTTTCTTCACTGGGGACAGAGAAGTAGAGCTAGGTTGACAAGAGTTCAAGAAAGATCTACGAAAAGGTTTTTGAGAGGAGGGGTCTTGCTGGTTCCAAAATAATGTCCCCTTGGTGTGTCTTTCACAAAACTGCCATTACAATTTCTACATATAGCCCCCAGATGGCAGTAATGTGTTACTCTTGAGCTGTAAGTTCCTGATATATGCTCTTCTTTGACATTTAACCCGCCATCCCATGACTGCCCCCATAGTACATTTAGATTTGAGGCTTGCTCACTCTATGCTGACAGGGCTTGCCATGTTTCTTCTCCTGGAAGTGACTTCATTGGTCTTTCCCTGGTGGCTGGTTCCCATGTCCCTGACTCTTGAAGCTGCCCTCCTCTCATTGCCATCTCTGACTGTTCCCAACCCTGTTGGAAATCATGACTTAATGTTCCCCTCCAACACTCCATAGTCAACATGTCCAAAATGGAATTCATATTTCTCATCTGCCCCCCAGTCCCCATCCAAGACCATGCTTGCTTTTCTATATCATTTTGAACATCTCCCTCCTATTTATCAAACCCGGGTGAGTCCACCTCTAAATTACTTCAGATCTGCACTCTCCTCTCCAGTTTGCCTGGCACGGGCAGAGCCTCACGAGCTCTTGCCTAATCTCCTAGCTCATCTGCTTATCTCTGTCATCTTCCTCTCACAATCCATCCTGCCACTATGATCTGTGCCTTTACTCAAACTCCTCCCAAGGACAGGAATGCCCCCTTTTCGATAATCTGTTCGGATTCTACTCACGCTTAAAAGTGCAGATCAACTAGCACCTCCCTCAAAAAAATTTCTGGGTATCCTCCTGGTCCAAACACCCCATCATTCTTCCTATTGCTTGTCTGTAGCACTTTACTTGGACCTCCTTTCATAGCTCTAATTTTTAACATTCTGCTTTGTAGATGATCCATTATTTATATGCATGAATATCTCCCTCCACCCCTTAGCCTAGGGTGGCAACTATGTGGTGTAAATACTTCAACTCACCCCCTCCCCCCAGTATCCAATGAGACATCACAAATAGATCATAGTTGTCTTCCCACTGAGCCCAAACCCAATCTCAAAATTCTTCTGGAAACAGTGCTCCAGGCAGAACTTGTCCACAAGATGAAACAAATTTGCTATCCCTGTCCCATAGGCAACAATAGGATGAGCAAGCATGCTCTATTCTTCTTTGAATCCACCACAGCATCTTGCACACAATCTACACTCATTTAAAGACTTCTTCAAAGAATGAATAAAAAGGCAAAGTGGATAGAACAGACCCTGACAACAGGCATGCTGCTCCCAGACGCCATGGTTCAATTTAATCGGCTTTTCTTCACTCCAATGTATCTATACATCTTTCTGGTGATAGTCATATGGTTTGTATCAGTATTTCCCAATGGTATTCAAGGCAGCAGCTTACAGAAAACTGCATGATCAAGTGTAAACTCAGCAGATTTTAGAAGCACACACATAACCACACATACTTTTTCTCAATCTAACATTCAGACTCATAAACCTATTTTTCCACCCTGCTTTTAAACTTTCAGCACATTTAAAAATATCAAAAATGGGTTGCAACATATTGGTCTCGATTAATCCATGCTGAAGCGCTCTTTTAATATCACATTTCCAACGTGCTTATATTGGTCCTTAACCTGTGAGAAAAGAAATGATACAACACAGATATGCTCTGTACTGCCGTTTGCAAAAACATTCCTTAGATATACTAGAAGTTGGCATTTGTGTGTGTGTGTGTGTGTGTGTGTGTGTGTGTGTGTGTGTGTGTGCAGGGGTTTTTCATTTTTAAGGAAGAATATGTCTTGGTTGTGTAAGAACTTTCAAATTTCAGGGACAAACTTGAGTTTTCACTACTTTCACATTTTCACAGATGTCTGACTGTGCTTATAAAGAATTTCCGGAATCCAATGGGATGCTAAGCAAATATTTAGTCACAGCAATCTGGAAAGGCAAAAAGAGCTACTTTGTGGTACACAGGGCTATATTCATTACTAAATGCCAATGCCAGACAATCATTTGTTGCCAAATCCTTGCCCTTGGATATCACAAAGCACCAGTATTTAAAAACCAACCATGAGCCTTCATGAATCCTGATTCATTAAGACAATTAGGGACATGTAAACACTGACTGGATACTTGATAATATTAAGCAGTTGTTAATTTTTAAAATGTGATAATGGTATTGCAGGGTTTTTTAAATGAATGGGTCCTTAGTTTGTGGAGATGTATACTGAAGTGTTTACATATGAAATGATACAATGTCTGGGATTTGCTTTAAAATAATTCATTGTCTAGGGTGTAGAGAATGGGTGTAGGTATGGATGAAATAAGATTGACCACATTGATAATTGTTGAAGCTGGTTGATGGGGTCATTCATTGTAACAGTCACTCTACTTCTCTATATGTCTGAACTATAATAAACATTTTTTAATCCACCATAAAAGTGGTAGCTTGGTTTGGGGGCGGCTCTCTGTATATGGATCTTATCCAGGAATGGTAACCCACAACTTCTTAGCCCTCCTTGATCACATTAGCAAGGATGAATTGATCAAATGTCTTATGAGGAGGCCAAGGCCAAAAGGAACAGGAAATGAGGTAGGGCATGTCTGAAAAGAGAGGAAGTTATGAAAGACCTAGAACATGGACTCTTGTCACAGTGGACAAACTATTGCCAGCCACTGAAAGAAAGGATTTGGCTGTCAGCTCTAAGAAACAACGGTGATATAGCACATCTTATATTTTCCTGGTTAGAGCTGGAACCCATACCACTAAGTGAAGTATCCCAAGAATGGAAAAGCAAGCACCACATATACTCACCAGCAAACTGGTATTAACTGAGCAGCACCTAAGTGGACACATAGGTGCTACAGTAATAGGGTATTGGGCAGGGGGGAGGGGGGAGGGGGGCGGGTATATACATACATAATGAGTGAGATGTGCACCGTCTGGGGGATGGTCACACTGGAAACTCAGACTTGTGCGGGGGAGGGGGGAAAGAGCATTTTTTTGAAACTTTAAAATTTGTACCCCCATAATATGCCGAAATTAAAAAAATATGAACTTCAACTGGAAAAAAAAAAGAAAGGATTTGGAAGTGGGAGCAGCTGGAGAGAGGATGCTGAAACAAAGTAGTAGACTCTGAATGGGAAAGGTGTGTGTCTTGTATGTGCATGTTGGTGGGGGTTAGTGGGATGCAGCTTGAATATCAAGACTGTAAAACCAACAGACTCACCTTTTGATTAGATCTATCTTTGTCTCCCCTCTAGTGCATTTGCAAACATCCTGGAGATAAGACATTTAGAATTCATTCTTATTCCAGTTCTCAAATCAAACAATAACTCATAGAATCATTTTCTGTTTTTTCCCCATATTTTCAAATCTACAAGTCTTGGGTTGGTTGCTGTTTTTCTAGACCTATTTCCATTATTTTCCTAGAACAATCAGAAGTTACCATTTTATGGTTTGTGAATGTCAGACCTGAAGGATCCCCTGTAGATCACTTACTCCTTTTCTTCACAGGTGAGAAAACTGAAGCTTGGAGAAAGAAAGTAACTTGCCCCACATCATACAGTGCCTAACACAGTGTTGGGCACATGGTAGACAATAAATATCTGTTGAATCCAGGATTGATACATACCTACCAAGTAATTATAGCCAGCATCTGATCTGATTGGTTGATACCCATGTCATATAGCTTTACTATCATCCC